GGATGACCGACTGCGAAAACAGGTTATGAATACGCGAGTGTTCAGGGGTGCTGACCTGGGAACGGATTACTATCTAGTGATTACTAGATTTAGGGGTCTGTTCGCGGGTTGGCGCTACTGGACGACAGTGACAGAACCACAGTCGGTCTGTCGCATCCGAAGCTGGAAGCTTCAGGAAGCGGATACTAGGGACAAATATCATGCGAGGGTAGCCGAAAAGCTTGACACAATCGATGGCAGAAACGAATGTGTAGAAAGAACATGGCAGAACCTTAGGGATGGAATGGTAAGTGCAGCGGAAGAAGTGTGTGGAACAATAAAAAGAGGCAGTAATAAAAGAAGGACTTTGCTTTGAGGTTAAATGAGAGATACAAGTGTCGTAGTTTTTTTCGCTTAAATTTATTGTTACATTAAGTGCTGTTGAGTCACTATAGTAAATTTTTTTGTCTTGGTGGTGGTTTTAACATCTGTAGATTAGTAAGTGTTTTTAATTGTGCCGTTTTTATGTAAATTTTAGTTATAGAAATATAATGGAGGACGAACCTCCCGATCCCGAAAGGGTTCACAATGACTCCTTTACTTTACCCGTTGATTATGTAGAATCTATTAATCTTAAACGCGCCCAAATAAGCAATGAGTCTGCCCATCCACAAAAATAGTTATTACTGATCCAAACCAACAGTTTCCTTCAATACAATCCTCATATACCCATCCTGATTTTATTAATAAGAAAGTAAAGTATTCTCAAGATGATACCGCGCCTTTTCTAGTTCACGTAAGTAAAACGTCAAATGATCAAGTGTCCGGAGTAACTCTCAAACCAATTAAATTTGGTCACTTTCTGTATCATAATAACATTAAAAATATAGTTTGTGACGGCGTCAAAAAAGTTGGACGAAACAGGATATCACTTGAGTTTAAAACAGCAGCGGATGCAAACACTTTTATTGATCACCCAGCTCTTCAGACTTCTAAATATGAAACAACTATCCCTTCATATAATATCACTCGTATGGGGCTAGTCAGACAAGTTCCTATAGAGTGGACATTACAAGAATTAATAGCAGCTATAGAAATTCCCTCTGGATATGGTACTATAATTATAGCTCGCCGACTCAATAGACGATCAGTGAGTGACAGCAATAACGTTTCATGGATTCCAACTCAAACAGTAGTTCTAACTTTTTCTGGACAAAAACTTCCACCACATATTTACTGTTTTTACACCTCTATGCCAGTAGAAAAATATGTTCTGCCACTCATTCAGTGTCATAAATGTTGCATGTTACTTCTCAGTGCCGATCATCCCCTCGCTGCTTTATATGTGCACAGAATCATGAAGGTTTATCATGTACTAAGCAAACTCCTACTTGTCTATTCTGCTCAGGACCCCACACAGCAAAAGACCCTACCTGCCCTGAACATCTAAGGCAAAAATCTATTAAACTAGTTATGTAACAAGAAAATTTATCATATTTAGAAGCTTCAACTAGATTCCCTCTGGTACGAAGATCCTTTGCTGACGCAACAAGAAGGTCGCCTCGTAATTCTTCTCATCAGACCCCTTATCCCATAAATGACAGTATTTCAGCTCCTTCGGCTCAGCCTTCACAATGTACATCATATAAAAAAACAGTCTTTATTCCTCAACGTACTTACAGACAATCATCAAATTCTGGATATGATAAGCCAGCCCATCAGGCAATTGTTGAGAACCCTCCTTCTCCCCTTCCAAATGGGTGTGCTTTACTGGGGAATGACAACATCTCTAATAATGATAACTTCTGCGAACTTATGGTATCAATGTTAATTAACATGATTTCCCGTTTCAGTGACGCAGAACTTCCCCTCAGTTTACGTCATAAACTTACTCAGCTTACTTCAATAACTAGCAACATTCACAATTCTACAATGGAATTGTCGGAGCATCAAACATAAAAAGAATGAACTTATCTTTCTTATAAACAAATTTAGACCATCTGTTCTAGCCATTCAGGAGATGTGGCTTAGACCTGACTCCCAATTTAGGATCTCAGGTTATTCATGTCTTCGGGATGATAGGAGCGATGGACATGCTGGTTCCTCTATTCTGATGTCAAAAAAAATTACATATTCTTCTATACCTCTTCCTTCCCACAGCTCCTCGATTAATGCTGTTGCAGTCAAGGCTCTCAACATATCTTTTCTGTCTGTATACATTCCTGATCCTAATGTTACCATCTTAAATGAACTTTTTAATCTTATTTCTTGTCTAACTCCCCCTGTTGTTATCATGGGAGATTTTAATATTCACCATACTTCATGGGGCTCACATCACTGTGATTCTCTATCATCTACGTTTCTAGATATGATAGACGACTTAAATCTTTGCATCCTTAATGATGGTTCTCCTACCCGCCGTGTTTCACCTTCTCAGAATGTAAGAAGTGTAGTGGACTTGACTCTTTGTTCTCCTGGCTTAGTTTCTCTTCTATCATGGAAAACATTACCAAATTCACATGGTAGTGATCACTATCCAATTTTTATCACATCTGCTGACTCTAATTCTGAATTCAACCCGAGGTTAAAATATAATTTATCAAAGGCAGACTGGCATTATTATTCTTCTGTTTTAGATCAAGCAACATCAACAATTCCTTCTTTGCATCATGAAAATGTACATTCAGTCTATATGGAATTCAAAAATTCATTACTATCTTCTGCCAATAAGACTATTCCTTTAAAACAACCCTACAGGAGCAATTTGGCCTCTCCTCCTTGGGGGACCAGGATTGCACATCTGCTTGCAAAAAAAGGAAAGAGGCTGAACAAAAATACTCTTTATCAATGACTATGGAAAACTACATTTCCTATAAACAAATAGCAGCTGAAACAGTAAAATTGTTCTACTTATTTTGTTCTACTTTATCTCCTTCCACACCTCCTTCTCTAGTCTGAAAAAACATTAAAAGATATCGCTGTTCTAATACAGTTGAACAGAATGTGTCTTCTAATGACCCTTCAATTTGGCTTGAAGAATTTGCACTTAATCTTGCTCCTCCTTCAGTGCGCACACATGCTGAATGTTTAGTTTTTAATTCTCCTTCTACACAATCTCTAGATGAATTTGATGGCCCCTTTTCTTACGAGGAATTATTTACAGTCCTTCAGGGTCTTAAGGACTCCTCTCCAGGAGTAGATGGGATTCCTTACTCATTCATTATTAAAAGCAGTAAAAAAACTAAAACTGTATTTCTTGACATTCTGAACCACATTTTTGACTCTGGAATTCCTCCCAAAGAATGGAAGACCCAAATAATACTTTGTTCGCGACGGTTTAAAGATTTTAAGCAAAAAGTGATGAAAGAATATTAAATTGTTTAAAAAGTGAAATTAATAACATAATCGAACAAATTGTGTATTAATATAGGTTTACAATGTGTTTACAATTCTTAATATACTTGGATAGCATGTCGTTTTTAATAATAGTTGATATAAACAACTTTAATCATTAAATAAAATTTCGACCAATCACAGCGCAGCATATCGTGGAACTTTCTAGAAGTCAATTAACTGCGCAATAGTTTATATGAAAATAATAAGAATATTTTTGTGTTCTGAAAGAATTGTAAATATGATATTTAGTTAGCATATGGTGTATAAATTGCAATAGTAAAGAGATAATTTATGTAAATAAACGCATTTGATAAATATAGTAAAATTAAAGATTTAATGTGCACATTTGTTATAAAAATTTGGTACATTTTGATTAATAACTTTTTTAAATGTAAATATATTGAGTAACCTTTGTCAGATACCGATAAAGCACCAAAATGTCTATTTTATAGTGTACAGCGTGTTAATGTAAAAATTAGCATTATATAGAAAAAATTGCGATTTGTGCCAATTACATAATGAAAATGTTTAAAAATAAAGAGGCAAAACCGGAAAATGGCAAGCGGCTCTCTATAGAGTATAGCTGAAGTCTACCTTATGGGGGCAAATCACAGTAACATTGTAGTAGGAAGAACTACCAGTAACAAGCAGTAGTATCCGGTAGTAGCTGAAGTGACTAGTGGCAGAACACAGTGAAAAGTTATAGTGAAATAGAAAAAGTTTAGCTAGCCGAAAAAGGTCGTAACTGAAAATCGCAGTTACACATAGTCGAAAAAAGTGGCAACTGAAAATTCGCAGTTGCATATAGTAAAATAGTGTTAGCTAGCTGAAAAAAGCGGTAACTGAAAATTCGCAGTTACATATAGTGAAAAAGTGTTAGCTAGCCGAAAAAAGTGGTAACGGAAATTTCGCCGTTACATATAGTGAAAAGTGTTAGCTAGACGGAAAAAGTGGTAACTGATATTCGCAGTTACAAAAGTGTTAAATTCAACTAATTTTAGTTGATTAATAGCTGCTAGTCAGTAGTGTTAAAAAACCAGCTACTACCAATAGATATTTTTGATACTACCAATAGAAATTTGTTACTTCCAATAGATATTCGAAATTACCAATAGATATATTTGAAAATACCAATAGAAATTTGTTACTGCCAATAGATATTTGATATTACGAATAGATATTTTGAAAATACGAATAGAAATTTTAAAACCAATAGAAATTCGAATATTACCGCGCATTTTAATTAAATCTGTTTTGAAATATATAATGAACAACAAATAGTGAACAACCATAGTTGAACAACCGTGTTCAATAAATAAATAGTTATAAAATTTCGCGACTAATTAATCAGTCGAACCGCTGGCCATTCCCTTGCTATTTTAATTTACAAATCGTGTATTTTTAATTCTGAACTTCAGTCCACAGTTCTCCAACAGCATACACAAAGGCGGTAGTGAAAGTATCCTCCGGAACCTATAGGTGTAGGACGTGAGCGGCTCGCGGAGTATCTTCGACAACATTTACTCTGGAGAGTTACGCCCGTCCGGCACATACTTCCTATTCTCAAACCGGGTAAAGCCCGTGAAGACTTTTCAAGTTACAGACCCATTGCACTGTCGTGTACAATGGCAAAGATACTAGAACATTTGATAAAAAATCGGTTAGAATGGTTCTTAGAGAGTAAGGATGTTTTACCGAAGAGCCAATTTGGCTTTCGAAAAAGCTTAAGCACTATGGATAGCCTCAGTACACTAGTAACTGACATCCGTATTGCTTTTTCTAAAAATGAATACCTTGTTGGAGTCTTTCTCGATATTTCATCTGCATACGACAATGTACTTCTTCAACTCAAAAGTCTTCCACAAGGCTCAGTCCTCAGTCCTATTCTCTATACTATCTACACTTTCGATTTAGATCTTGCAGTCAATTCAATTTGTAATGTCCTACAGTATGCAGATGATTTAGCCCTATACATTTCTACAGATAACCTGACTACAGCTAATTCCCGGTTAAATTCTACTATGGAATATTTACAATGCTGGTTAACTGATCACGGTCTATCCCTCTCTGTTTCCAAAAGCAGTATAGTGATTTTTACTCGCCATAAGAATGTCCCTAATATTCCAGTTTTATATAATGGCTTACCTATTCCTATTCGGGACAAGGTAAAATTTTTAGGTATGGTACTAGATAATAAATTATCCTTTACACAACACATTGAATACATTTCTAAAAAGTGTGATAAGAATATAAATATTCTTCGTTCCCTTTCAGGAGTGTGGTGGGGATCTCATCCTTTTTCACAAAAGCTACTATATAATGCTACTCGTATAATTCGTAGTCATTTAGATTATGGATGCTTTCTTTTAGAGCCTTGCAATAAATCGTCACTTAAAACTTTAGACAAAATACAGTATAAATGTCTCCGCATTATAATTGGTGCAATGAAATCTTACCCAATCAATGCCCTTCAGGTAGAGTGTGTAGATCCTCCTCTCAACATAAGAAGACAATATCTTTCAGACAGATTCTTCTTTAAGATCTGTCAACTCTCTTCTCATCCCCTAATTCCCAGGTTACACCTCCTCTCAGAATTCTTATCTTCAAGTAGGTACTGGCTCCATAAAGATTGTCCACATTTATTTAATAGCTTAGTCTCATTTCTCCAAATTCCTGGGCCCATTTTCTCATGCAATACAAGTCCACTCTTTAATACTCCTTTCAAAGCTATTATATATCAACCTAACATTCACCTTGACCTAGATATTAGAAAAGGTTCCCCTGAAGCAGATTTAAAACTAAAAGAAGCCATAGGGAAAAATTGGAAAGATTGGATGACCATGTGTACAGATGCATCCAAAAATACTGATGATGGCTGCACTGGTGCAGCTGTCTGGATCCCCAGGTTTAAAATAATCTTTAGCTTTAAGTGCCCTTCATTATGTTCCATTTTTACTGCTGAGACAATTGCAATCCATGAAGCTCTGCTATATATTGAATCACATAGCCTAGACAAGACAGTGATCTTTAGCGATTCTAAGAGTTGTTTATCTGCTATTTTGGCTAACCAATTTCAAAGTAAATATAAATTTCCCCTAATTCTTGATATAAAAAGCATTCTGTATAGGTGTCATCTTAAAGGGATTTCTGTCTGTTTAGCCTGGATACCTAGTCATAGTGGTATTTGTGAAAATGATAAAGCAGATTTGTGTGCCAAAGAGGCTACTAGAAATGGCACCCCACTAAATGTTACTTATTCCCATGACTTGCTGTCACTTGCTAGGAGAAAGCTTGTTAATACGTGGAATGAGATATGGAAAGCATCACAAATACTAAAAGGCAAGCACTATGCTGCTATACAAGATAATATTCCATCAAGACCTTGGTTTTTCATATTTAATAAAGCAAACAAACGTGCCACCTCTATTGTCTGCCGGTTGAGAATTGGACATGCCTGTACCTATGTTCACCTAGCTAAACTCAGGATTAGGGATAGTTCTCTGTGCGAATGTGGTTTAAATGAGGGAAACACTAATCATATTTTTTTTAACTGCACCAAATTGTCATCATCTCTTTACGATTATCTGCCCTCTGACATCCCTCGTCCCATAGACTTTAACTCCCTTCTAATCTTCACAAATACCTCTTTTGTATATATTTTATGTGATTTTATTAACTCTAACAACATTAAACTATAATTTGTTTGTCATATAATAACACATTTGTATTGTTCTAACAACATTGTCTGTCTTTTGTTTTAGGTGATTCAGCAGTTAAGTTGACCAAAATCATTCACATAATATTCGTTTGTTACCATTTCTTGTATTATCAATTTTCTTTTTTAAGCAGAGTTTGTGTCGCAATTAAACCTTCTCACATGTAACATGTCATTGGCGAATTCATCGTAACCGCCATAAAGGAAGAAGAAGAAGAAGTAGTAAAAGAAGAGATGCATGGTGGAATGATGAAGTGAAAGAAGCTGTAAAGAAGAAGAAGAAAGCATGGTTAGACTACTTGGCCTCTAGTAATGATAAGGATATGAGAGAGAAGATGAAAGAAAGATATAAGCTGTAGAAAGTTCACACGAAAGCATTGATTGAGGAAGTGCGTGAAAGGTGTAGAATGGAAGCGGATGAAAGGTTGTCGCACAACTTTAAGGAGAACTCCAAACTCTTCTGGAAAAAGGTTGGAAGGACCCGAAGTGGTGCGACGGCCTTAAGAATGAACAAAGTGCTTTCGAGAACTAATGACGTCCTCTCAGAAAAATCGGACGTCATGCAGCGATGGAGCGAATTTTATAGAGAAATGTATGCGTGTGATGATCTTAGTGAGGGATCCGGGGATGACGCCGTGACTGGTACGCCAGACCCGGACCTCGACAACACTGAGGTCATCAGTATGAAAGAGATTGAACGTGCGATTCGAAGTTTGAAATGTGGTAAGGCTGCGGGACTAGAAAGAGTTACTGCTGAAATGGTCAAGTATGGTGGGCCTCGCGTCTGGGACAGCTTTCATCTGCTGTGCAATTTGTGCTGGCGGACGGGGGATGTCCTGGATGATTGGCGATCCGCAGTCATTGTGCCTTTATATAAAGGTAAAGGTTCACATTTTGACTGCGGGTGCTATCGGGCGATCAGCTTGACCAGTTTAGCAAGTAAAGTTTACTCGAAGGTTTTGACACGTAGGATGCAAGAGAAATCGGAAAGATTTCTATGGGAGGCACAATGCGGATTTAGACCTGGAAGAGGATGCACGGATCAAATGTTTTCTCTCCGCATGATCACGGAAAAGCTTCTGGCTGCTAACCAGAAGATTTTCTGTGCTTTTGTGGATCTTGAGAAAGCATTTGATAAGGTTGTAAGGAAGAAAATGTGGGAACTGTTGCCGGGGTATGGTGTGGATGGCCGATTGCTAAGGGCTGTGCAGTCTCTTTACTGTGACTGTAAAGCCTGTGTGCGGGTAGGGCATGACCTGTCACCCATGTTTAGCGTCCAAACGGGCGTAAAACAGGGTTGTGTCATGTCTTCCTGGCTGTTCATACTGTATCTCGACAGCTGTTTACAAAAGCTGAAAGATAGCTGTTTGGGTGTGAAATTGGGTGACATAAAAGTAAATTGTCTGCTGTATGCTGATGATGCAGTGCTTATTGCACCATCAGAGGCAGAACTGCAGGCATTAGTCACGTGTATGAAAGAGGAATGTGAAATTAAAGGTCTCCGTTTGAACGCTAATAAAACTAAGGTTCTGGTATTTGAAAGGGATGAAGAGAGAACGAAGTGTGAAATATGGGTAAATCAGGAATGTCTAGAACAAGTAAATGAAATTGTATACTTGGGGAGTGCTTTTAGCCGGGATGGAAGATGTGATTTAGATGTGGACAGGCGTGTCGCTGCCGGGAACAAGGTCAATGGTGCCCTGACTGCGTTAGTCAAAAGGCAAGGCGTAGTGAAGAGTGCACGCCTTGCAATACATAACGCAGTGTTGGTACCGACTTTGTTATATGGCAGCGAAACCTGGGTATGCCAGAAGAAGCATAAAAGCAAGTTGAATGCAGTGCAGATGCGATCTCTTCGTAAAATGTGCGGCGTTACCATGGCCGACCGAAAGCGAAACGAAGAGATTCGCAATATGGCAGGTTTGAAAGATGACCTTATCACAAAAATTGATAAGGGCGTGCTTCGGTGGTTTGGGCACGTTGAGCGAATGAGTGAAGACCGAATGGTGAAGAAAATATATAGCGCGAAAGTTAATATTAAAAGGTGTCGAGGTAGACCGAGATTAACTTTCGAAGACCATGTGAGCAAATTGCTCGAAGAGGGTGGGGTCAAGAGTACTCGGATACCTAGACGTGCATGTATGAAGAAGATAATGAATCTGAAAGAAGCGAAAGAGGTATGTAAGGATCGTGACACTTGGCGATCTGTTCTCTCTGGCTACCCCGTCAGGGATTGTGCGTGAAGATAAGTAAATACATTAACTACATGTGTACAAAGTACACACAATAGAATAAATGTTTCTTTTGATTTTTATTGCTATAAGATCAGGGAATTCCAAGTAAGACGTCATTATATTTTACTAACTTTGACTTACAGACTACTTTTTAAAAATTAAGTTATAAAGTATAAATATTTACTATTAATACCTTACATGGAAATAACATTTTGTTAGAGTTACAAAGTTTAAATAATTCAAGATTCTGCATATTTAGGGGTTTAGCGAAGGGCATGGCAATTTTTTTTTATCTTATTGATTATTACGGTTTATTTTTTTTCTTTATTTTACTTAACAAATCGACATAACCGTACAGTAATACATATTCCCACAAAACTGTTTACACAGTTTGTCTGTGGAATCCAGAGTCTTACAATAATACTTTAAGGATAGCTATAGTACAAATTTTTTTTTCCTTAATTACATAATGATAGAAAGTGTCTATAAACCATCTTTTTAAATACATTTTTCTTAGTCTCGTGTTGAATATTTTTGGGTAGACTATTCAGAATATACGGTATTTCTTTCTTTAATGTTCTATCTCCAAAGTAGTTTTTTATTCTAGGTACTTCGAACTTGCCCTATATTAACGAGGTTTGAGTTATCAAAATTCCACTGTAGTTCATAAGTACCTCCTGGCCATCTTTTGTGATGTCACCATTAAAATGCTATTACTCACATTGGTACTGTGCTGGGTGTAATGACAATACTTAGTGTCCATGCACATACACAACTTGGGCAGTCACTGCTACCAACATGTGAACTGGCTAATCTTTTTATTATGACATGAGCTATACACACTAGATGACGATGATAGTTTTGTTCATGCTTTACTGTTTATTGTTTCAGATTATCGCCAGGCTGCAAACCAACCATTACTTATGGATGAATTTATTTTGAGTCAGGCTTCAATTAAAGCTGATGACACACCAAGTGTACCAGGTTAGATTGTAGTTTACCTTTTATTTATTTTTATGAATCCTGGCAAAGAATAAGTCACCTTTTTCCACTATAAAAGGCAATTAAGGGATTAATGTGGTTTTATCTAGTAGTAGTAATATTCTAATGTATGGGTATGAATTTGTTCAATGTCTAATCATCAGTGCATTTTTATCTAATCTCAAAAATCGTAATTAAGTAATGTAAAGTAATTTTCTCTAATGATATAATTATACCTAAAACACAGTAAACAAAAAAATATATATTCTCACAACTATTACTCTAGTATACCTATAATAATATTGTAGATGTATTATTTGTTAGTTTGTGAGATCCGAGTCTGTTGTGGTGATTATCTCCATGGATAATATACTATATAGGGCAATTATAATATATATCACCCCCTTATTTTTAATTTATCTTTCTAACAATATGATACTCAATTAGATTTTTAACCATAGATAATAATGTATGTTAATTTATTAGTAAGTGCTTTGACAGGTTTTCTTTTTAATTTTAGCACTAGATGACATGACCCAACCGCTTCTTAACATTGACTTGTTGGTAAATATGGTTCGAGGAGAAGTTCCATGCTCACTAGGAGATATTTCAAATATATGTTTACCAGACCTTGAAACTCCATCCACATCTAAAGAAATACTTCAGTCTGCAGGTAAGAATTGTTAGCAATATCATTGGATGAAGTGAGTAAAAATAAGTAGAAGTCTTGACTTTCTTATTTATAATTTACTAAAAAAAAGAAGAATTTGTAAGTTGTGACTTTAACTTACATTCACAAAAAAGTGCAATTTCCCAATACTACCCAGTTTAAACTACTACCTTATAAAACACTTCTACTACTCTATAAATCCCTGGCTGAGTCTATAATATCCTATGGGTTGTCCAGTTATGGAAGGACCTCTAAAACACACCTAGACAATATTTTTTCACTCCAGCTACGTATACTAAAAAGAATAGTTCCTTTAAAAATAAAAGATACCTTTAAAGATTACCGTAAGCTATTTGCATTTTGTAAAATTTTACCAATTCATGAAAAAGTAGAACTAACTCTTTTATCACAATATAATTTTACTGAAAATCTACAAAAACTACACAAAAATTATTCAATCCGTAGACAAGATAATCTTAGACTACAACTACCTTCTTATAATAACCTGTATGGTAAAAAACGATTAAATTACATAATACCTTATCTAATTAACATTATACCTAATCCTATTAAAGAAAAAATAACATATAAAAATCTAAAAAACATCTTGAAACAATATTTCCTACAAATAATAAACAAAAAATACACATAACAACATTATATCTATCTATATAATATATATGTATGTGTATGTGTGTGTATGTTATATATTATGTATGTATGTATATGTATGTATATATATATATATATATATATATATATATATATATATATATATATATATATATATATATATATATATATATATATATATATATGTTTATGTTTTATAAAATACACATATGTAATAAATATAAACTAACAACACTATATAGTAATAATCACAAACCACACTTTATACCATACTTCTTAAAACCGTAATGCTAAAAAACATCCTGTACAATAAAAAAGTATCAATAAATGAAGACAATGCTGCATAGGAACGTCCACAAAAGGTTTTTACATAACTTTATTTTGTGATATACCCGCATGGTGTTTATAAAACGTGTCTTATGATTGTTCCTTAAATATGTATGTATGAAGTGTGTAGCAAATATT